CACACACACACACACACACACACACACACACACAATACAGAAGTTTCATTTATGTTGAAATGTCAGAGATTTTATATGTAATTTTATCGTATGTTTTGTAATTAAAATCTCTAATGAGATCATCATTCAGTGATTTAGAAATGACGCTATTAAAAAAAAAAAAAAAAATTATACAAGAACATTTTGTTATCTGTAACCTTATGTATTTCACAATTTATCAATTGGTACATTGCAACAATAATTCGATCCTGGTTTGCCAGGAATAACGGTTGATGGGTATATTGTCAACAACTTGTGTGACTATATAGTTTTTATAGCCGAATATAAAACACAATAGCACGAAATGATGTATCAATGGTAAAGTAAACTGAAAACAAAGGTCTCAGTTTAAACAGTAGAAACAACTGAAGTACCGGTAATTACAGAGAAAACTGACCCTATGAAATGCAACATTACAGTAAAAGGGGCAAAGCTCAAGCAAGTTGAAATGTTTAAGTACACAAGCATCTTGATAGCATCAGATGGATGCTGTGTTTAAAAATCCTAAATAAAAAATAGCTCAATCAAAGGAAGGATTTTACAAAATGAGAATATGTTATGCAATATTTCTTTGTCAGTTGAGACGAGAGAGATAATTCTCAAAAGCTACATGGATCCTACTGTGATATGCGAAACAGATTCATGAACAGTTAGTTGATTAATTAACAATTATTTGGAAGCCTTAATTTTTTTTTTTTAAACAGCTATTAAAAAAATTAAGAATAAACAAAGCTACCGGAGAGGACAACATCTCAGGGGAAATGCTCAAAGCAGCGGATGAAAACACCCTGCAACATTTGCTCCAGCTGATGGATGAAGTCTGGCTAAACGAATACCCACCACAACAATGGAAAGATGGTGTAATCTTCAAATTACCTAAAAAAAAGGTGATTTATCCGATTGTAACAACTGGAGAGGCATCACCCTGCTTTCGATACCAGGGAAACTATTTTGTAGTATGCTACTAGAAAGATTGAAAAAATCCATAGATGAAAGATTAAGGGAAGAACAGGCCGGTTTTAGATCCAAGCGGTCATGCATAGACCACATCTTTACTCTTAGAATAATTGTTGAAGACTCTACAGAATTCCAGTCGAAATTATTGATCAACTTTTGTCGACTTTCAAAAAGCCTTCGACAGTATCCATCGTCCAACACTCTGGAAATTGCTTAACATCTATGGTTTCCCCATCAAATATATCAACACCATAAATTTTTTTTATAATGAAACACGATGCTGTGTAAGAACTGATTCCGGCAATTCTGACTGGTTCCCGGTGGAAACAGGAGTGAAGCAAGGCTGTATCCTATCGCCGATGCTTTTTGGTATAGCAATCGACTGGGTCATGCGCAAGTGCATAAATAACGCACATTTAGGCATTACATGGGTTGACAAAATTCTGGAAGACCTAGACTTCGCCGACGACATAGCACTCCTGAGTTCAGAACACACAGACGCCCAAGAAAAAATCAATCGACTCCAGAAATTCTCAGAACAAATTGGACTCCAAATTAACACCGCAAAAACAAAAATTCTAGACTTTACCAACAGTTCAGTTGATATCACGCTGAACAACAACAGCCTTGAAAAAGTCAACAGTTTCACTTATCTAGGGAGCAAGATGTCATCTACAGGAGATACCGCACCAGAAATACCATTTAGAATAACACTGGCATCTAGTGCCTTCAATAAACTGTCTAACATCTGGAAATCAAAGACACTAAGCAAACACACAAAACTCAAGATCTTCAATTCTTGTGTGATTCCAGTACTAACCTTTGGATGCGAGAGCTGGAAATCAACGAAAACTCTAGACACAAAATTAGACAGTTTTGAAAATAAATGCCTTAGAAGAATACTAAATTTCAAATGGTCAGATTTCCGAACAAATACACAAATAAGGCAAGAATCCAGGCAAGAGTATGTGTCTAATTTTATACGAAAACGCCGCTGGAACTATGTCGGCCACGCCCTTAGAATGGATAAATCAAGACTTTCTTACCAAGCCCTCATTTGGACACCACAGGGGAAAAGATCTCGTGGAAGACCAAGGGAAACCCTACGTAGAACTATCATCAGGGAAGGCTCGCTCATGGGCCACTCAAACATCCAAGACCTACAACGGATTGCAACGAACCGCCATGCATGGAGAGTCATGACCTCTGTCCTATGTGCCGCACTCGACACAAGAGGAAAGACTAACTAACTAACTAACTAATTTGGAAGCTGCGGAGATGTGGTTTTATAGACGAATGATGAGAATACCTTGGAAAGAAAAGAATAATGAATACGTCTTGAAAGAAACTGACTCACTAAGAGAGATGACTGCACACATAAAAAAGATACATTCTTCATTTCTTGATAATGTGATGAGAAGGAATACAATCTGGAAAAAAAGTATAGTATGTCCTTCAACGTCTGCTAAAGTAAAAGTGTCTGTCTCACAACACCAGGATCAAAATATATAAAACCTTGATTAGACCAGTTGTTTTATATGGCTCTGAAACTTTAAGCACAAATAAAATAAGTGAAGTCTCATTACAGTTTTTTTTTTGAAAACAGAGTCTTTCGACGAATCTTTGGACCCATCAAAGATGCAAGCGAAATTCATAATCTGTTTAAATCAACACTGATCAGTGGCATCGTGATAGCTAATAGACTGAAAAGGTTGAGGAATATTGCAAGACTGGCAAAAAAGAATTAAAACTGTAAACAGGAGATGAATGGTCGTAGACCACGAGGCAGACCAAGAATAAAATGGAGAGATAATATCTAGACAAACCTGCAAACACTTGGTATCATTTCCTGGAAAGAAACGGCCAACCAGAGAGATGAATGGAGGTGTTTTATATCTGCAGAAATAAACCTCAAGAGCTCGAAATGCTTAAGAAGATATACTTGGCAAGTGTGCGATTTCTCCCTCGCTCTCGTACTTGAAAATTGGATTGTTTTTACACAGAACATCTACTCGAGAGAGACGAAAAAGAGAAATTGATAAATGGTGAAGCTAAAATCTAAATAAATTAAAATGAAAAATCCGTCAAGACCTGCAAAGTAGCTCAAAGAGAAAAATGGAGTAAAAAAAAACAACAACAGTGGGCTACAAATTTGTATCAGTTAGACAACAATGAGCTACAAACTGGTATCAGTTAGACAACAGTAGGCTACAAACTGGTATCATTTAGACAACAGTGGGCTACAAACTGGTATCAGTTAGACAACAGTAGGCTACAAACTGGTATCATTTAGACAACAGTGGGCTACAAACTGGTATCAGTTAGACAACAGTGGGCTACAAACTGGTATCAGTTAGACAACAGTGGGCTACAAACTGGTATCAGTTAGACAACAGTGGGCTACAAACTGGTATCAGTTAGACAACAGTGGGCTACAAACTGGTATCATTTAGACAACAGTGGGCTACAAACTGGTATCATTTAGACAACAGTGGGCTACACACTGGTATCAGTTAGACAACAGTAGGCTACAAACTGGTATCATTTAGACAACAGTGGGCTACAAACTGGTATCATTTAGACAACAGTGGGCTACAAACTGGTATCAGTTAGACAACAGTGGGTATCATTTAGACAACAGTGGGCTACAAACTGGTATAGACAACAGTGGGCTACAAACTGGTATCAGTTAGACAACATGGGCTACAAACTGGTATCATTTAGACAACAGTGGGCTACAAACTGGTATCAGTTAGACAACAGTGGGCTACAAACTGGTATCAGTTAGACAACAGTGGGCTACAAACTGGTATCATTTAGACAACAGTGGGCTACAAACTGGTATCATTTAGACAACAGTGGGCTACAAACTGGTATCATTTAGACAACAGTGGGCTACAAACTGGAATCAGTTAGACAACAGTGGGCTACAAACTGGTATCAGTTAGACAACAGTGGGCTACAAACTGGTATCATTTAGACAACAGTGGGCTACAAACTGGTATCAGTTAGACAACAATGGGCTACAAACTGGTATCATTTAGACAACAGTGGGCTACAAACTGGTATCATTTAGACAACAGTGGGCACAAACTGGTATCATTTAGACAACAGTGGGCTACAAACTGGTATCATTTAGACAACAGTGGGCTACAAACTGGTATCATTTAGACAACAGTGGGCTACAAACTGGTATCATTTAGACAACAGTGGGCTACAAACTGGTATCATTTAGACAACAGTGGGCTACAAACTGGAATCAGTTAGACAACAGTGGGCTACAAACTGGTATCAGTTAGACAACAGTGGGCTACAAACTGGTATCATTTAGACAACAGTGGGCTACAAACTGGTATCAGTTAGACAACAGTGGGCTACAAACTGGTATCAGTTAGACAACAATGGGCTACAAACTGGTATCATTTAGACAACAGTGGGCTACAAACTGGTATCAGTTAGACAACAGTGGGCTACAAACTGGTATCATTTAGACAACAGTGGGCTACAAACTGATATCATTTAGACAACAGTGGGCTACAAACTGGTATCATTTAGACAACAGTGGGCTACAAACTGGTATCATTTAGACAACAGTGGGCTACAAACTGGTATCAGTTAGACAACAAAATAAGAAGAAGAAGATTAGTTACGGTATGGCCAATCTCATAACTAATGCTAGGCATGGTTCATTAAACTGCTCGATAAATAGTTTGTCTCCTGCTTGGTTTAGAAGTCGAAATTGTTGATTGCATTCTATGCCCTAAGATCCTGTTATAACACAGTTGTAATCCCTTTTCAGTTGTGTCGTACTACGTTTTCTGAAAATGCATGTTCTGGAGGAGACTGCATTACGTGCACTTACAGCGAAAATGTGATAAGCATCCAGGTAAACAGACTTCTAACAACGGATGAAAGTAGGGCAGTACTGCAGATACAATGGTTACCATCACACGACATGAGGATGGTAGTTTCAGACAATAACTTTACTTTACCAGAAATCGTTGGTGAGTTTACTTGTATAATATTATGGTTTTAATATACAATCATTCGTACATGCTGCGTATTCTATCCTAATAGTCGTACTGAAGTGTTTTATGCACTAGCATGCTGCATATCGTGTTTTGAAAATTTATATGGCCTATACTCTCTTGTCATTATTACAATGTACAGTATTTATTCTGTTTGGACTTTTCACATATTATATGCTTTATTGTACAATCATTATTACAATATACAATATGTCAAGAGACAAAAGAAGTGCTTTGGGCTTATTAGCAAAAGTTAATGGTCGACGTTTGGTGCGGGACAGCCTAGCATATGATACTACAACATGCAGCTTAAGAATGGAGGTGGAGGCGGTCACTGCAGCTTTCCACTGGCTAGAGAACACGACACACACACGTCATGATTGTAAATGACTCAGAAAGTATGCTGAGGAAGATTAGAAAACGTATTCTTCGTGGAGAGTGGTATGCTTCACTGCGGAGGACACGGGTGAGGAGCATTGTTAAGATTTTTTTTTCTACCGGGTCACACATGTGTGTTGGGAAATGAACAGCCGGACAGACTAGCTGGCTCTGCACAACTTGGTGGAATACTGATACATGATAAGGCAGACGTGGTTAGTTTCTTATGGGAGAGCGTGTACAGTTCGGAGGAGCAGATGGATCACTGAAGTCTGGTGATGTCGGTGAAGCGGGAACTGACGAAATGTTCTGGCAGATGCTCGAGGCTCAGAGGAAAGGCAAGAATGCTACTGGCACCATTAGTAACGGAACTCTTCGCTGGCTACTAAAGATGTGGATGTAGCGCTTATGGAAATGGCCCGAGTGCTGTGATGTCGGTTTTTGAATCAAATCAAATCAATTTAATATTACGATATACACCATTTGTTCTGATGTGATTACTCACATGCATTATCCTTCCGTATACTCTTAATATAATATACATAGCTGTAATTTTTTCTTTTTATCACGTTCTGTTTGCAGATGTTATATAGGTCACCTGTCTTGATCGTCGATCATGGTTTAGTGATTGTGCAATACCTTCTTATTCTGTCGTATATTCTGCAGTGGGGCACATACCCTCTAAACATGGTTACGCCAACTGGTCCAGTATCCGTCCCTTCTATGTAACTTCGCTATCTTGTTCCTGTATCCGTGCGTTTTGGTGTGACTTTATTTCTACGCCTCTCAGAGTCCTTCTTTTCATACTGCTCTCGTGTATTCTCAGTGTGAGTCCTATCCAATGCTAACACCTTTTCCTAACTTCTTGATTCAGTGTGATTATATTAGTGATTCCATCTTATGATTCCTTTCCCTATATTTTGCACAGGTACTGTTCAATACATGTTTTTAGGTTATTAGTAACTGTTTTAGTTGTTAACTCTATGTCGTCATGTTTTGGTCAGATATAACTGAGCTAACATAAAACAGTAGCCGGAACCACCTGCCTTGTGTTAACGCTGACTGTTGCGTCAACCGAACCTGAAATCCCAGATTGTGCTTTTGGCTTCGGGTGTTAGAGAGAATACTCGCTTTATCGTAGAAAGACATAATGCAGCTTAACAACGTTATGTTATTTCAAACAGCATACCAGGGCCCCATCCATGTCTAGCAGCTGGACTGCGCGCGAAGCTTAGACAGCTGGACAAATAGAGCAATATGCTCGTCTGATTTGACAGTTTATGCAGCGTGCTTTGTAAATGTGCTACCTTTCCTTTAGATTAAACAAGGCAGATCGAGTATGGGATCATGATGCACGGGTAACATATGATCACTAGTGTACTGCCCGATGTGCTAATGAGCGAAGAACTTAATCCCCGGCCCTAAATGATCTGGAAAACAATTCTAGAGTCAACAGTTACGGGATACAATGACTCATTGTTACCTGGCATAGACAAGAGCGCCATGAGTTGCCTCTAAAGGTGGAAGACTTTTTCGAATGTCACTGGTCAGTTGATCCGTCACAGCCTGTGTCCTTCACTAGGTGCTTGGAGCGAAGACATGATCCGAATCGCAGTCTGTAAAAAAAAAAAAAAAATGCATCGGACAGTTAAAAAATATATTTTAAACCACGACACTGGGCTACAACCTGGTAAAAGTGAAGAAATAGATAGATAGATAGATAGATAGATAGATAGATAGATAGATAGATAGATAGATAGATAGATAGATAGATAGATAGATAGATAGATAGATAGATAGATAGATAGATAGATAGATAGATAGATAGATAGATAGATAGATAGATAGATAGATAGATAGATAGATAGATAGATAGATAGATAGATAGATAGATAGATAGATAGATAGATAGATAGATAGATAGATAGATAGATAGATAGATAGATAGATAGATAGATAGATAGATAGATAGATAGATAGATAGATAGATAGATAGATAGATAGATATAGATAGATAGATAGATAGATAGATAGATAGATAGATAGATAGATAGATAGATAGATAGATAGATAGATAGATAGATAGATAGATAGATAGATAGATAGATAGATAGATAGATAGATAGATAGATAGATAGATAGATAGATAGATAGATAGATATAGATAGATAGATAGATAGATAGATAGATAGATAGATAGATAGATAGATAGATAGATAGATAGATAGATAGATAGATAGATAGATAGATAGATAGATAGATAGATAGATAGATAGATAGATAGATAGATAGATAGATAGATAGATAGATAGATAGATAGATAGATAGATAGATAGATAGATAGATAGATAGATAGATAGATAGTAAAAAAACAACATAACTTCAGTCTTCGGCATGCAACACGAAATGGCAGAACCATGTGTCTGGAGTTTTCCACTAATCTGTAAAAAAAAAAAAAATTGAGAAAACCGACTTTCTTTGATGTCAAACTCAATAAAACTTCACATAAATGTTGCTTGCTGTCAACAAATGGCAGTGGTACACCACGGGACAACCACTCTATTGCGTGGGACATAGCTTGTTTTGACACACCGTACATACCTAACGGCAGTGCACGTAAACAAATGACGTCATAATATACACGCAAGTGCATTACAACGAAGGATCGGACTAGCGAATAAGATATTACACAATAATAACGTCATAATCATGGACCGGCGTTCTTAGCTTGGTACCAAAGCACATACCGACTGGGGATTCCTTGGTAAGTAAAAAGTAAAGGACCCTTTTCCACGGCCTCAGGCGTATAGGGCATATACTGCTAGACTTATATTTTTATTGACCTATCGGCAAAAGAAGGCTGATGTGGTCAGTATCACGCCGACCGCCTTCACTTTCCCAGAACTGTACACAGTACCTACTCAAGACTTGGTTGACCTGGGTGTCAAAGTCATTAAAAAAAAAGTCTGGCTTTGCCAGAAAGCGAACCCACGACCTTCCGATCCGCGGCGAGCGTCTTGCCGTTCAGCCATGGCGACTCCCGATTTCAGGATGCAGCAGAAAGGGAACCCAGGAATAGCATCAATAGCAACGATCGTCACTATATACGGATGATGATGTGCGCACCTAGACCAGATTTGGAATCCCCACGCGCACCGGAAGAAGCGCACAAGATCTCACGTCCGGAAAACGTGACTTCCGCCTTCTCGGACTCTAGTAGCTGTTAGAACTAGAAGTATATTCTGAGATTGGTAGTTAATTAACATCGGACACAATCTCGCGAGTTTAAGGATGGATTTCATTCACACAAGGGGTAAGAGATAATGGAATTGTATGTTGTATTTTGTACAATTGGTATCCGTATTTTGATGATATGTACATGTATTGTATAAAGCATTGAAATGTGTATATTTTGATTCAATGCTACAATTATCGATCTTTCCTTGTAGGCGTAAGTGCATAGATTTGGGAGAATTATTTGATTGCAACTTAAGGAATTGATATTCGTAAGAGTACCCAGGGTAATTAGGGAAATGATGGATCTTTGGAGGATGATTTAGATTTGATTGCAAATTAAGTAATTGATATTACTAAGGGTACCCAGGGTAATTGGGGATTTATTGGATCTTTGGAGAATATATAAATATATATGTGTGTGGTTGGGGGGGGGGGGGTGGTGGATGTATACCTATGAAGTGTCAGGATTGTCATAAGGGTGGGAGGGGGGGTTCTTAACCCAGTCACCTAGTTAATGAAAATATAAAATGAGATTCACATATGAGGTGATGTGACAACTCAAATTAATAGAGTTTTCAGAAGCTGAGGTGAAGGAATTTTTTAATTATGTATAGTAGCCAGGCATTTTAGAGGCACACTCTCACAAGCGGTTGTTTTTGCTCTTGTCTCGTTCCAGCCCGGCTAGGCTACGACATACCAAAAACAAAGTGGAAAAAAGATTTACATTTGTATAGTGTAAGCCACTGGATGGCAAATTGTTCATTATAGCAAGTCCAGAAAAAAACAGTTTTACAAAGAACACAGTTAAATTGTTGACCACTTTGAGTGGAAGTTAAAGGGCTTTGAACCATATATAATGTTGGCACCCAAGCCTGGAAGATAGTTCTAATTGGTGAAGAGCAACAGGACAGCAGACTGGTTCACCGAAGACGGTCATCTACCAGACACATCCGGTGACTGTGTTGCCCCACGATCCTGAATCTGTCTACGCCAATTAACTTCTCACCGAGGAAGAAACTCATATTATGTTTTTTTCTAGTCACATACTAGGATAAAACGTGTTACATTGTATGATGGTAACTGTTTACCCACCTCGTCTAGTCTTGTTTATTACGGTGAGAGTGCGCTTGGAGAGAAAGAGTTTGAAAGAGACCTTTCTCATCCTTACCTTACTTATCTTTCTGGGAGCTCAAGTATCTACTGATAGGAATGTATACGGCAAAATAACTAGACTAGCCTGAAGCTTTCTACATCCAGAACCAGTTTTACTTTTTTGACTCCTGTCACATGACCACGTCACAGTCTCTTATACACGGGGCCACCCCTCTAGTTTTGTAACCTTCAAGAGCCAAATTTTAAGG